CCTGCTTATTATAAAGCCCCTTGGCAACTGGCATGGCAGATTGAGTACCTGTGGCTATAATAATTGGGTGGGGAAATAAAAAGGCTGGGGGCTAACAAATGGATACATTTAACTAGAAGTTCCATGGTTTTAACCTCTTCCCCTGGACTCACATTGGGCTATCCAGAAACTATTCAGAGCATGTGGGGACTTTTGACTTTGCAACCAGAGGTCATAAGAAATGGTTTAGAGAGATTTAGAGGCAGAATTACTATTCTGATAGAAATGGCCCTCAAAAACCTATTTTCTTTTTTTAAATATATTTTTATTAATTTCAGAGTAGAAGGGAGAGAGAAACATCAGCGATGAAAGAGAACCGTTGGTCAGCTGACTCCAGCACACCCCCTACTGGGGATCGAGCCCACAACCTGGGCATGTGCCCTGATCAGGAATCAAACCATGACCTCCTGTTTCATAGGTCAACACTCAACCACTGAGCCACACCGGCTGGGCAGAAAACTGTTTTCTAATTGGTGGAGGGGAGGATGAAGGAACTTGCCACACACCAGGAAGGAACCATCAGCACTTCTATTCAGTTCCATTTGTAAATGAGCCCATATTAGTCAGGAGGAGGAAAAGGCAGATTTGCCTAGATGCAGCCAGAGTCAGGTTCTGTATTGCTTTTCGGGCCCCTAGTTATCTACTCAGGATTTAGGGCAGTGGTTCCCAACCTGGGACAATTTTGTCCCATAGGGCACGTTTAGAATCATCTGGAGACAGTTTTGGTTGTTGCACTTTAGGGGAGCTGTTACCGGAATCTGGGTGGGGTAGAAGCCAGAAAGCCATTAAACATCCCACGGTGCATAGAAGAGCCCACAAAGGATGATCCCCTCCACAATGTCAATCATGCTGAGATCTAGAAACCTTGGTTTAGAGGACACCCAATCTTCCTTCACTAATCTTATGAGATGTATCATTGGCAAATGTATATTAAAAGCAGTAGTCAACACACTGAATTTTTAAGGTTTCTTCCCTGTTATTTTTCTAAGTCTGTATTTCAATGGCAAAACTATTTTGTTTGGTGGAAGCAGTTCTGTCTTCTGGTTGAAATAAGTATGGAGGGCAGAATTCTCATTTTCTGAAGGCAACGGGTACTTCAGATACCCTCCCCATGCACTATGTCAGTCAGACTCTGTGTGAATGGCAGGTTTGCATTTGTGGGCCAGTCTCATGATTGTACCAATTGCATTTATGACACCTTGCTCCTGATGACAACAGGTTGACCAAGAAGAGCACAGAGAACTTGGGAAGATGTAGAAAATGAGGCTAAATAGTTGTGCTATATTTATGCAAGTTTCTTTATCTGAAGGTCATGGCTTTTTTTCTACCAATATGTCTAAAAGAAGGTATACTTAGTACCAGTCTTGTTGGAATGAAACACACTTCTGAACCAATTTTATATGCCACCAAAGAATCTTTAATCACCAAACTGGACACACTAAAAGTAACATAATGAGATAAGAAAATAAAACAATATTCTAAGAAATCAAACCCATGCCTCTCAAACACAAGTCTACATAATTCAGTCTAGGAAAACATAATTGTGCCCACCACAGATTTAGGCCCCATCTCCAAGTAACAACATACATTTGTTTTTCACTTGCAAAATTAAAACCAATTCTTCAAGTACATTCTGTCTTGGTTCTTTTGCATTTCATTCCTTGGCTACGGATCCAAAGCCCAACTTGTGCTAGGGAATTAAATAGGACTGGTGTAAACAAGCAAATTTAAGGAGATTTTAGAGGGTAAAATATTCTATTTGGAAGCAAGTCTGCAATGGTTGAAACTGCTGTGTCTGTCTGGGGGAAACACTCTCCTTAGGTCTATGCAGAATGTTGTCAGCTGCTGTCCTCAAAGCTGCCACTATTCCGGCAAGAATACAAATGCATCGGGCTCATGGGATCGGACACGTAGCCTGCGTGAGAAAAGAAGTTCAGCTGTTACTTGGCCTTTGAGTCCATCTCCCCATTATTCTCCACCCCTCACCCAGTGCCATGCACATCTGTCAGGCAGTTTCTCCTGGTTCATGGATACAGAGTCCAGACAAGGGTTGCTGGCAAGCAGTTGTAAAACAAAAGCAAATTTTAAAATAAAAACAGAGAGCTGAGACCAGAGGAACATCCATGCTAGCTGTCTGCTTTGGATCCAAGCTGGCGAGGTGGAATGTTGAGTTTGGAATAAAGAAGGGTACGGTTCAGAAAGATGTTGTATCATGGCGGCTAAAAACATGGGCTTCCATGGCAGGTAAGTCTGGATTTAAACAATGGGCTTCCCTATTTACTGGTTCTGGGATGTTTGTCAACTTAACCTTTCTAAGTCTCCATGTCTTTATCTGTAAATGGGAGAAAGAGTAGTACTTACTCATCAGGTTGGTAAGGCACAGAAGTCAGTCAGTACAGGGTCTGGTTCAGAGCGAGCACTAAAACACTATGGCTGAAAAGGGAAGGTGGAGGTGGCAGGAGGGATAAAGGAAAGAGCCATTCTCTGGAGTGGTTGGCTCTGGTTTGTTTTTTCCTACCTAAGAGCCCAAAATTCTTTTGGTTTTTCTTTTTTAAAATATATATGTTTTTATTGATTTCAAAGAGGAAGGGAGAGAGAGAGAGAGCGAGAGAGATAAAAATCTCAATGATGAAAGAGAATAATTGATCGGTTGCCTCCTGCATGCCCCCTACTGGGGATGGAGCCTGCAACCCAGGCATGTGCCCAGACCGGACCAGAATTGAACCGTGACCTCTGGTTCATAGGTTGATGCTCCACCATGGAGCTAAACAGGCAGGGCTAAGAGCCCAATTTTTAAGTGGATGTTAATGCTTAGGTCTAAAAACTAGTGGCATTTGATGCTCATGGAAGCAATAGACCTGGGTGTGTCCAGAACATAAGCTAGTGGCTCAGGATCTGGCCTCTATGTTAGAGGACTCAGGGCAAGGCAGGGAAGCAGTTACCTTTGCATTCCTAGCGAGGAAGCTATTCATTGCTTCTGGGGAAATGGGCACATTTGTCAATACCTATTGCTGCTTTCGCTCCCATTTGATAGCAGCGTTTTCAGGACTCAGCCATCTACATTTGCATCAAGACGTCTAGCAATATGCAGCTGGATAGGCACATTTATTTTCATAAGAAAGATCTCCGTCAGAATCTCTTAGGCAGCATATAAACTCTCCTTGAGGAAAGCCATAGCTGCTGCTGCTGCGGACCGGCCTTCAGTGGGGCTGGCCCCGGCTGAGATGAGGGGAAGCAGGACACACATCCCTGAGTCCTAATTCTGGGTGGACTCGAACAAAATCGACACCCTGGAGCAAAAATATTCCTTTTGTCCAGCCTGAAACTGTGACTGCATTCAGGCATGGATAGATGTGTTAATAAGGTCATAATCCTTTTATTACTGTCATCAACCTTCTGATGTACCACAAGGGATTTTACTGCCTTGCAATGCTCCATGCCTCTCTCCCCACATCACTCCAATGAAAATCTGATAGTGAGCGCACCTCCCTCCAGCGTGGGCAGGCTCTCCTCCTGGGAGGGGTAGCAAAATCAGCAGGGCATGGGTGTCGTCACTTATTATTGAAGGTGTCATTGCCAGAGTTGAAGGACAGATTTGCTGCTCTTGGGTAGCCACTCAGCATAAGGGGCACCCAAGTGAAATCTGACCACAGGCTTTAGGAAAAGACTGAACCATGTCTGCACATGTTCTGTTACTTTAGGGTGAACTCTAGCCCTGCTCTTTGGGGTGTGGTGGGGGGAGAAGAAACAGTTCATAAAGTTGCTGTTATACCACAGCGGGTTTATGAAGTAGAAATGGAGGGCAATTAAAGGGTTCTTCCTTGCACAGTCTGATGTTCCTAGGGGAGGGCAGTAAATATATCTTTTTTGTCTACCGGGGCTCCCACTCCATCTAAATACCCTCATGTTTTCTTTTACCCTTGGTACAGATAGGCATGGAAAAATGCAACTTTTGTACTATTGCATCCCTTTGTCTTATTTCTCCATCTTGCGGAATTCTACTCCAAGTCTTCTTCCTTTAAGAAACAGCTCGTTGAATCAAAGAGATGCTTCATCTTGAAACTCTATCATGAAAGGAAAGACTCCTGGTCAAAGCGTACATTTCATGGGGTACCCTACATTCTGTGGTTGTACAGTCCCATCTGTAAAAGTTTGAGAACATGATATTATATCTATCAAACATGTAACACTCAGAGAACATCTCCCCTGCTACTGGACTGGCCAACTGTGTAGTAAAATTGATGATAAAAAGCACTCAGTTGCATTCTGTGCATGTGTTGGGAGCAGAAACACAACGTTTCTTTCCTTGAATGTGTTCCCACATAGTTTGTCTGCATCTATCCAGAGTAATTCTCCCCTCTGTGTCTTAAAAGCTTCCCAATGCCTGAGGTAGCGATACTCTGCAGATGGGGTGCATTGGTGAGGATCCCGAAGCTGAGGGCTAATGTTCCAAATAATGCAGAGCCTCTCTGGCTTAGCGGTTGGAAAAAGGACGCCACGGGCCCAGCACATTCGTACGGCAGCTGATGATAAGGGCGACCCTCTGGCTTCAGGGGCCTGCATAGCACTGTGTTAACGATTTCAACGAGCTTTATTAATTCCTTCTAAAGCAGTCCTGTGCAAAATGGATCTCATCAGTGAGGCCCTTACTTCCTCTCCACCTTTTGGAGGGAATGGCTGGGTGTACCTTTTACCCTTGGGTGCTTGCTAAAGGGGAAGCACTCCCCCAACATACGATGTAAGTGTAGAAACTCATCTCTCTTGTTTTTTTCTTCCCTCCCTACATCCCTGTGATGTGGGACTTAGAGGCATGCACTCGGTCAAGTGGCAACACGGTGCGTTTGAAATGTCACGGGATGCAGGAGATGATTTTCCTAAGAAGGGTTGTACATTTTCCCATGTGCACACATGCTCCCATATACTTGCACACACATTTACACATGTATGTACACACACACTCTCACGCATTATTAATCTCAAAGGTAAATGTAGAATTATACAACTTCAAGATCGAACTTTGCACTTTTGTAATATTTTAAAAGCAACCTTCATTTCTAGTTATTACAAAATAGAAATTGCCCACCTCGTTATCAAATAGATATCACCTTCCTGGGCAGTTTCCTTAATTAGTCTGAAGAATGTGTGCACTTACCATATTTGTCAACAGGTGAGAACTGAAGGTTTCTCTTCATCTCCTCCAAAGACAGGCCCTGAGAGGAACACTGTCCAGCACTGGAAAATTCAAGGAGATGCACTGTTTGACACTGTGAAAACCATGGTGGTGGTTTGCTACGAACATTTTTATAAAACAGATTTTTTTCATTCAGCATAGATCCCAGAGAACTGGCAAACTGAAACAAACGTGTTTTTTACCAATTCAGGGGAGGGTTCAGAATTTCAGTGGTCCCCCCATATACCATACATGATTTTGCTTCCCATGGTCGCAGTGACCCATGGTCAAACACAGTATAAAAATATTAAATGAAAAATTCCAGAAATAAACAATCTATGAATCTTAAATTGAATCATCCATTTGTCCAGTACAACCACTTACCCAAGGAATATGACTTGGAGTAGAATTCCTCAGTAATACAATATATGCTACCCTCTCCTTATCCACTTAGTAGCCATCTTGGTTGTTAGATCTACTGTCGCAGTATCCCAGGATTTGTCTCAAGTAACCCCTGTTTTACTGAAATAGCCCCAAAGTGTAAGAATAGTGTAAATGTTATCATAAGTATGGATACATAGGAAAAACACATAGTATATGTAGGGTTTGGTACTATCTATGATTTCAGGCATCCATCGAGGATCTTGGAATGTATCTCCTGTAGATAAGAGGGAAGGAGGGCTACTTATTTGGAGTCAGTCAGATATAGTGTGAATCCTGGCTCCTCCAGGTAGGCTAGAATTCCCAGCTGTACCCTTGGGCATCTCACCCTTTCTGACCCTCAGTTGATTTAGATGGGATAAGTACCTAAATAATTTTGAGTTTGTTTTAATAATTGATTAGAAAACTGAGGATGGAGCAATTGAATAACACAGGTTTGATAAATGGCTCATGTAGAAGTCAAACCCAAGTTTCTCATATTCCAAAGCATGTGTGCTGATCCACTATTCTAAAGGGATTTTCTTCCAGATTCCTGGCCTTAATTAATCCTTCTTTTCCCTACGCATCTCTTACCCTTTTATCATTTTGATGTATGGCATTGCCACCTTCCCACTTCTTCAGACTCAAAACCTAAAGTTATCAAAACCCTTACACTAATATTTCATCACATCGGTCAGTTACTTAGATATCTGTCTTGTATCCATCTGTCTTATCCACATTTCAGCATTCTCAAATAAGCTGCCGTTATCTCCAGGACTACCCTCACAATGTCCACAGCAGAAGTTTCAATATCTTGTCCCCAAGCTACTTCTCTCTATCTCAATTCCTGCCACTGCATCATTCAGTTACTTAAGCCAAAATTTTTTGGAATCATCCTTGGTACCTTTCTTTTTCTCACATCTCTCACCTAAGTCAAAACGTTTTAGCTCTGCCTCCAAAATTTAATCTTAATCTATCCATCTCTCTCTTCCCTCAAGATCTAGGAGGCCATATAATCTCTTTCTTGTCTGGACTTCTGCAATTTGGCTCCTAATTGATCTTCTTGCTTTAACTCCTGTCCCCTTAAAATCCATCTCTGTGCACTATGCAGAGTGACCTTTTCAAAATATACAACGGATTAAGCTATTGCCTACTGAAAACCTTCCGCTGGCTTCCCAGAATACAATGCAAATGCTTTACCCTCCTCTACAAGGCCTCTGCAGGTACGCCACTCCCCAGCTTGTGCTAAGCACTTCTCTTGGCATCCTTTCCGTCCCATCAACTCTCCAAGCTCCTTCTCAATCCAGAGCTTTTGCATGGACTCTGCTTGGAATGCTGGATGAACCCAAATCCTGTTTGGCTGGACCCTTGTCCTACCTTCGCCCATGCCTGGCTCCTCTGCCATCCAGGCCTCAGTTGGCATGTCACCTCCTCAGAGAGGTCTTCCCTGACCACCGTTCCAAAGTGGCCATCCTCTGCCTATGGTCACTTTCCATCACATCACATCACATCAACTCATTTCTTTCTTTCAGAATTCCATAAAATTATCTTGCTTATTTATCCATTTATTTACATACTGTCCATATTCTTTTACAAAATGAGATTGAAAGCCTTGTCTACCTTGTCTCCCTATTTTCTGCTACATAGTCAACACTCTGAACAGTGCCTGGAACATAGAAGACACACAAAAAAATTAGTTTTTGAATGATTTAATTAATAGATCCTTAAGTGATGTCCTTCTCTTCAGTCACTCAACCCTCCCCTTCACAAGGTCTTCCTGTGACAAAAATCTTACCATGCACACACCTTCCCCCACTGTAGTTCCTCAGGCTGATGTTCAAATTCCTCTAAAATCCAATCCTCCTTGTATGTATCTTGCATTATACAACTCCCCCACCCCCGCCGACCTTTCCTAAGTTCAAGCTGCACTAATGGGATGTGGACTTTGCAAACATTCCTGAATTTTCCCTACTGCACGCGGTAACTGAGCTGCTCCCATAATTGAATCTACCTGGCGATGTATTTTTTTATCCCTGACAGGGAGCAGTGTGATGTTGTGGTGAAGATGAGCATTCTGGTGCCAGACTCCTTGAATTTGAATTCTGACTCCATCACTTACTAGCTCTATGGCCTTTGACAAATTCATTTAACTGCTCTATGCCTCATGTAAGCAACTATAAGATGGGAATACAAGTCTTAAAAGGTTCACCATGAGAATGAAAAGAGTTAATAAGTTTGAAGTCCTTTGAACAGTGCTGGCATTTAGTAAGCACTCAATAAATGTTATCTACTTTGATTATTCATCACAGTCCAACTCAAAGACAGCATGTCCTCAAAGTCCTCTTGGAAACCCCCAGTCTGAATCCCATGCCCTCTAGCTCTTTGCATTCCTTTCACAGTGCTTAAAAGCCTGCCTTGGTGAAGAATGATCTGCATGGGGTGCTAGTGAACCCCACTAAGCAGATACTCTTGAGGGGCAGAGGTCCTATCTAAGACCTTTGGATCTCCCACAAAGCTTAGCTGGCTCTTTATAAATAGTTAAAATCATACAAGTATGTTAAATAATGTTATTGCCAAATGTTCACTCAGAGAAGTTAGATTTCTCTAAATTTCCACAATTAATTCACTTACTGTTTTACAAATAACTCCATGTTTGGCCTCATTTTTTCTTTTTTTAAAGATTTTTTCAATTGATATTTAGAGAGAGAGGAAGGGAGGGGGAGAGAGAAACATTGATGTGAGAGTAGAACCTCGAAATATCCATCGTCTACCTCCTCATGCCTCCTACCTCTTGCACACCCTCTACTGGGGATCAAGCCTGAAACCTGGGCATGTGCCCTGACTAGGAATTGAACCAGCAACCTCTTAGTGCACGGGACAATGCCCAATGAACTGAGCCACACCAGCCAGGGTTGGCCTCACTTTCTTTTATTTTTTAAATATGTTTTTATTGATTTTTAGAGAGAGAGGAAGGGAGAGGGATAGAGAGATAGAACCATTAATGAAAGAGGAACATCATAAATCAACTGCCTCTTGCACGCACCCCTACTGGGGATCTAGCTGGTAATCCAAGCATGTGCCCTGACTGGGAATTGAACTGGTGACCTCTTGGTTCCTGGGTCGACATTTAACTGCTGAGCCACACTGGCCGGGCTGGCCTCACTTTCTTAAGCTATAAAGGAAAAATGCTGTTTCTTAGAGGAAAGCAATGATTAAAAGGAAGAATAAAAAGTATTGACTTAAAGTGGGACATGCTGTGACCTCAATCCACTTTAAATGGCAAACTACACTCAATTCTGGGCAATAGAATGTCATTCAGGATATTTTTAAAAATAAAATATACTCTACTAATACCTATAACCTCTTTAGCACCCTCGTTCCTTTTAAGAAATGTGCTATGCACAGTAGTCTTGGCAACAACAAGATAATAGAGAATAAATATTTTATCATCAAAAAGGCTATCTGGTTTCCTATGAATAAAAGCCCATCTTCAAGCTGCCTTATTTATTCAGTTGCTGAATGCGATTTGTGCCAGGGGACTTAACCTTCCTGCCCAAGAGATACCACATACTCTGGCTCTGGTTGCTGTTACAGGATGACAGACAGATGGAAGCTAAGCATGCCCAAGTCAAACAAAGCAGAAGAAATCAGACTCTGATCAATGGAACCAGTTGTCCTCCACCCGTGTGCATCCCAACGTCAGCAGAAGTTTCACAGAAGCCCAGAGTTTAAACAGAAACAGCAGGACCTCTCTTTGCTGAAGTTGTGGTCAGTGAAAATAAGCATTTCCAGGGATGCAGCTACACCATGAATTCAATGAAAGTAAATGTGAACTAATGGCAGGTAAGAAAGGCACTCAATTTTGCAGTGTTTCCATATTACTATTCAACTAGTAGGCTTCTTTATGCTAAAATGATACTGTATATCATATAGAGGCATATATGTGAATAATATATAATATTATATGGGTCATTTCAGGTATACTTTTTGTGAGAATGGAATGAAATTTTCTCTCTCAAAGTGAATAATATGGTCCTTAGATTACCTTTTGCATACTATCACATCATATTGCTATCTCTTATTTTAGTGCTAAAAATGTTTCAGTCATTTTAGGCTAAACAGTTCATATAAGCTCTGTGATGTATATGTAAAGATCAGCATAATCATCAGCCATTGTCTCCTAAAAAGTTGCACTAGGAAATGAATAATTTATCTAGAAGGAAGAACAGAACCAAAATTGAAAACATATTTCTTGCTTCTCAGTCCATGCTTTATAGATGTAGACTACCCAGCAGACTGTCTGTTACTTAGGATAGTTTTCACCCAAGTCCACATACACGATTTATACATTCATGTGTGCATGCCATTTAGGCCATGGCTTGTCAGCACAAACTAGCACGTTTGGAAATAGTCCCATGGTCTGTGAATTAACTATGCACCCTGACCAAAGACAAGGAGTGTGTTAAAAATGAAATTGTGAGGCTATTTTGGCTGCAATGAATGCAGAGAAAATGATGCTCATGGCAAGCACATTAAGCAAAAAGTATCCAATGAGAAGTAAATGTAAACTACAGAAGAGCTATGAAGTGTGGGAAAAATGCTAGAAGATAGAATATACTACAAATCTAGCATAAATTTTTCA